CGTCAAGGCAGACAGACAGTCAGACGAAGACAAGAACCAGCGGTGAGGTTCGCTGACGAAGTGGACAGAAGTCCAGCCGATACTGAGTGCACAATGAGAGCCAAACCACCTGGATCCTGCTACTATCTCCCGGCTCATCAGATACAGCTACAGATACAACATCGGTTATGCCGCAGATTATCGTCAGATACATAAACACATGAAGGGAATTTCCACGTTACACTCTATTTTTCGCTGCGTTATCTACGGGTTATAGAGCCTGGGATACATTAGACGGTTTGGTGGGATCTGGAGACTCATCTGTCGGTGCATGGTGCGCCGAGTGCCACTGGCCTCTGTCCGAATCGTCCTTGAGGTGATCACGAGGACGAGAGCCTGCAACCGGCTCGAGGACAATTGCTGACGACTGGTAATGATGAGAATAACTGCAGATTCGGAGCTAATTGGGAAATGGTGTTCTCATTAGAATTATTTGAGAAAAAAGGGTAATATAAAAGGAGAGAGAGTGACGCGTAATGAAATTTGTTTAATTATGATCAAAATTGTATCTCTGGGTCATTTGCGAACTCAAGGAAGCAACAAAAATAAAAGATGTTAATGATAATAGTGACCATGAAATAATGATACTGATACTGGTAATAGTAATTGTGACTAATGAAAAGAATGATGATGATGATGTAATAGTAATAATCATGACAATTACTGTTAATGATAATACGAGTAATGCAAGTAATAATGATAAAAAATATAGTTATGATGATAATAATGATAGTAATAACAATGATGATAATGATGATAATAATAATGGTGAAAATGATAATAATAATAATAAAGATGATAACAATGAGAACGATAATAATGATAATGTAATAATGATGATAATGACAATACTGATGATGCTGAAAACTAGAAGCACTTCGACAGCGCATACCTCTGCCTAGGCAATATGGACACTCGTGCAATGAAAATATTCACAGTTGAAGAATAACTTTAAAATCACCTCTTTCTCAAGCAAACAACCTCAGCGGACGCAATACAGGCAATGATAAATTTAATGGTTACCCCTATTTTCAAGGCAACAGGGGTAACCGATGCTGTCATCTTAGATATTCCTAGATCCGGATCATGATCCAGATCACCCAAAAAATCTAATGGCATCTCTGTTAGGCTAAGACACGCCTCTGGCACCTAACCAAGGCTCCCAAAACAAATCCTCCTTGGCAGAGGTAACAATGATAATTATGATGATGATAATGACAAGAGTAATGGCAATAATGATGATAATGAGGATAAGGATATTGATAATGATAGTAATAAAGTTTATGATAATAGTAATGCCGATACATTGGAAATATAGTTCAATAAAATGATAACGATAAGAAAACGAAACCAATAATTATGGAAAGAAAAATGAAAATGTTTATCATGATGTAATGATAATGACAGTATGAATGGTAATGATAGTGATAATAATTGTGATGATGATTATGATAACAATAACAATAATAATGATGCTAATGAAAGCAATAATAATAGTAGTAATAATGATAATAATAATGATAATCAGTAATAATAATGATACTACAACTACTACGACTACTACTACTAATGATAATGATAATACAACAGAAATATTGATAATGATAATAATAATAATGATAGAAATAAAGATGAAAATAATGATGATGATGATAATGATAACGACAATATTAATGTCAAGTTTAAATAGTAGCAATAATACTAATACTAATAACAATAATGGTGATAAAACAATAATGATGATTATAAGGAAAATAATAACAACAAAGGTAATATGATAACATTAACAATAATAATGATAATAATTGTGATGATTTTGATAATAATAGTATCAATAGTAATGATAATAGTAATAATAATAGTTTTAATGATGATGATGATAATAGTAATAATGAAGATAATAATTATGATAATAATAACAATAATAGTAACAATGATAGTAATAACAATAATATTAATGATAATGGTGATAATAATGATAGTAATGATAGCTGAAGAAATTAATAGTAACAATGATAGTAATAACAATAATATTAATGATAATGATTATATTAACAGAAATGCTGATAGTAAAAACGTTGATAATGATAATGTAATAATGATATTATCAAAAATGATAATGACAATATCGACTGTAATAATAATGAGAATACCAATAACAATCCTAATAGTAATAAAAATGAGAGTGATAACAATAGTAATGATAATGATAAGAATAATGATGATATTGATAATAGATGATAAGAAATATAAATTGCAATATACAAAATGGTCATTAAGATAATGATAACGAAAAATAATAGTAATGATTACAAGAATAACAATAGACTGGTTAAGATTTAGGAGAATGAATATGATAATGATAGAGAATAGATAATGGTAAAAGTAATGATAACGCTGATTATAATGATAATTCATTAATCTGATAATGATAATGATGATAATGATAATAATCGTTATA